CTATCCACTCATTCATACAACACTATATACAACGTGCATGCAACAACCCCTGCAACATCAACTAATGCGTCGTCATACATATACAACTAGGAGATCTCCAACAACTGAGGTTAAGCAGTCTAGGTGGCATAAACCCTACCGAATCCAGCCTTTAACCTATCTTAACCAGGTCAGGTATAGGACATTGTTAGGAACTCCGAAGAGAACCAGGTATAGACAACAATAGGTGATTGCTCAGGTGTGTCACTTAGACTTAGAGGTCCAGTACTACTGTCAGGACAGAAGGGTTTAGGTATGAGCCTACCACGACCTTGGCTAGCATCACCAATCCACATATGGAGTTAGCCCATCCACTGTCCTCCAAGTACCACATACCCTCTAGTACCTAGTCAAAGACTACATCTCTAACTAGATACCTTACTCAAATTGGTCATTAATTCAACCATGACATGGATCGACTACTTCCATGTCGCCCACACAATACTAAGGGATTCAACTTTAAAACAACTTTCAACTTATCACCTCAGTACTATGTATCTCAACATAGGACATATATCTTTACCATATGTCCCCAACATAACAACTTTACAACAATAGGCATCATAACAACTTTACAACAATAGGCATCATAACAACTTTACAACAATAGGCATCATAACAACTTTACAACAATAGGCATCATAACAACTTTACAACAATAGGCATCATAACAACTTTACAACAATAGGCATCATAACAACTTTACAATAATATGCATCATAACAACTTTACAACAATAAACATCATAACAACTTTAAGGCAACTTTCAACTTTACAGCAATAGGCATCTTTATACTACTTAATTAAACAACTAGAGCAATTATAGTCAACACAATATCAACTTTACAACAATGAACTACTTTAACTTATACATCTCAACTTATTAATGATTCAACAATAAACAACATAAAAACAACTTAGTTTCACCAAATACACACATATAACAACTTTAACAACATATTACATATTATCAACACACAACATATAAACAACGTAAATCATCAACTACTCAACTCATCTTCATCAGACAACTTAACAACTTAACCACGTTATAAACAACTTCTAAAACACAAGAACAACTACATGCAACCACTAATTTAAATCAATCATCTTTTTTTCTTTCAAACAACAAAACCCAACTTTTTAACTCAATCTACACCCAACAACTCAACCATTTCAAGGAAAACAATGTATGAAGCTTCTTTAACCTGAAGATTGACTCAGCATTGAATTTCCTTCCAAAGCTCAACCTGGGAACCTCAATCTTCCAAAAGCAAGCTTCCTGACCCAGAGTCCTTCTCTCTAAAACTTTTCTCTAAAACCTCTCTCTAAGTTCCCTTTTCTCCCCCTCCTCAATTCCTATTTATAGAGGTCAAGAGTGACCAGAACGGCCTGTTTTGAAACTTGAACGGCCCGTTTTAGGCTCCTTCGTCATGTGTAAAATTCACATGCAGAATGTCCCGTTCTGGCATGTCTAGAACGACCCGTTCTTAAACTAGAATGGCTCGTTCTAGAGTTGAATTTAACTCACAACAATCATGTTTGGAACGGTCTGTTCTCAACTAAGATTTATAGGCCTATTTAGTAGTCTGGAACGGTCCGTTCCAGTTTGGGAACGACTTGTTCTAAGCTACTAAATCACTCTTGTTTTAGTAGTTTAGAACGACCGGTTCTAATTTTGGAACGCCCCGTTCCAGTCTACCAACTGCGTTACACTTAGGCTAAAAATATTTTCAAACCTCTTGACAATTCTAAATTACTTGAAATAAAATAAATAATAAATCAAATATAAAATACTTCAATTTATGCCATAAAATATGATAATTAATTAAATAATTAACTCCTATATATTAAATACAAAATTCTATTTTATACGAGAGTCCTTTTAAAAGTTTTTGTTTAACAAGATGATTTATAAAAATAAAAAAAAAATTAACTTCTAGCCTAATTTGATTTTATTTATTATAATTATTTATAAGTTATATATTAATATTTTTAAATAAATTATCAATAATTAAAAATAAATTATTTGTTACAATATAATTTATTTATCATAAATCTAAAATATAATTTATAT